AACATATTTATACAAATTGTCACCATTGTCTTAAATTTCATAGCGAACAATTTCCAGTAAGGTACATATAAATGTACCTTTATGATCTAACATTACTTTAAGTTCAGGCTATATTTATTTAAGCTTTAATCTTTCTTAGGCTCATCTTTTATTACAGAAATACAACACAGCAGCTAAACTTAACTAATGTTTTATCTCATCTTGTGTTTATCCAAACAAAAAAGCCCTAAACAAAAAGTTAAAGCCATCTTTATCAAGAAGAGTAGTCTGCATCTCCATCTTTAGTGGAAATATGAAATCGAATATTTGTAATTTTTACAATACTATAAGAACTTTTTATCTAGATATTATAAATCTTTAACCTGCTGCTAATGTATTTGTTCAAATTTGAGTTTGAAACATCCCTTTGAAAATTAATGGATTCAAAGTGGAGCTAGCAACCGTATAGAACGTAGGTACGAGCGTGCATCAGGCTCGCTTTGCTCTATACTTGCAAGCACGTAAGATGTTTCTACTGACGTATAAAATGCAGCTTGGACATATCCGACTTATGCCTTAGAATGTAGACTCTGTACATTTAACCACTTGAGCTCAAGAAGACACTCAAACCGGTTATGAAATAATTTTTCATTATTATCCATTATTGGTTTAAAACCATTCGTATTACCGAATTCACAACGGCGGTATGCTTTGTTATTGCTTTGGTAAAGTGGGTTCAGTATTGGATAGGTAAATATAATAGGTTCCATGTTATGGTCGCTTGATAGACATATTGTATGATTGCGGATCGAATGCTATTGCGCAAAAAGTTAGTATCTTTTGGGCAGTTCCTCTACTCTACCTGTTCAAATGGTAATCTGGCTACGTAGACATGCATTCACGAGGTATGTGATCTCTCTTAGAAGATCGGTAGATTGATAAAGTTGCACACAGTCGTAAAAACTTTTAAATCGACGAACACATGAAGACTAAAGAAATCATGTAGTTTTTATCCTAGACAATAACAACGTAACATAATGTATCACATTTATTATCAAATTTCATTTCATTTGTGTTTTTATGTATGATCAGGGGGAAAAGCGTAAAAAAAGAAAAAGAAAGTTGTAGATTTAAATTAATTGCGTATTTTATCTTGATTCTTTGCTGACGCCATTTTTGTTGGTAACACTGGTATTGGTCAATTGTTGTTCTTGACGCAATCCTTTGGTACTAATATGGTCTTAGGTACCGCTAAATAAAATCAGGTAAAATTATAAATTAACAAATTGTAGCTACATTGGTTTTCATCTAAAACTGAATAAAACAGTGAAATAAAGTATTAAATACAATTATAGAGTTTTTTTAAAACAAATCTCTGTAACGGCTGAATAATTTAATTCAAGTAAATGTTTTTTTAAACGTGTTTTTATAACAAACTTGTATATCTATGTTAATGATTATTATTAGATTATAAATGCTTTGAATATTTATTGAATAATTGTCTGCCATGTTTGTTCATCAATGTTGATAACTTCTCTTAAGCATGTGTATCATTTTGAAAAGTACTAACATTGTAAATTGTATTTGTGATTGTATTAAAATTGCACCTATTACTTTTTAAAAAGATTGATAAAAGACAGATAAACTCACCGGACAACATCTTCTCATTACAGGGTAACTGCTACAGTACCCACAGAAACGAGTGCCACCTGGACAGTATCCGTAATAACAATCACCATATTGAGCTGTAGAGATAATGATTCGTTATGCTTCATTTTGAGCTAAGTTCCGGTACATACAAAAAATATCAAATAAATTAAATAGAACATAATAAACTCAGATATATGGACAATTGTCCGTTTATAGTAATTGTAGAGTAAATAGCGACAGCCAAGATCAGCGACAGACATCAGTATAAAGACTTTCACTGCTCGTCTGAAACTTTGACATCTTCGGACGTAAATATCGCATAATGGCAAGCAGAAATACAGTAAGTTACCTTTAAGTTATATGTGGCACAGTAACACGAAACTGCTATTCAGTTTTTTATACCATAGTTTTATAATTTATGAAGTTTCTATAGTTTGCATTTCAATTCATCATTGGGGCCATTACCATTCAGTGAAGAAGAATTCATATTCTACATCCTTCCTTTTTGAAGAAACAAAATTCGTAACAACTCCTATACCTTTAATATATAGAACTCATAGCAAGTAAGAGACGTGGTGCCTTGGCGCATAATGAATGTTGCGGATATTGTAAACAAGAACTGATAAACGCACAACCAATGCATCAAAATATCATTATCAAGAAAATAATGTATGTACTTTTGAACACTAACATAATTACTTATTGTACGTACCTTCAGCAACTTCAGGCAGAATTGAAATCGCCAAAAACCCAACAAGAAATAACAGCAATAAAAGTTTAGCCATTCTTACGAAATATTTCCAAACACGTAGAAAATCCAAGGATGCTATGTGTAAATATTGAGTCCCTAAAGACTTATATATATATACTGTACCTGTGTCATAATGTATAGCATTTTTGTCCAATGTTTAATTGATGAGTTACCAGACCGCAGAGGTTTAAAGCAATAATTAATTATAAATGACTGAAGATCATGCATAGAATATATACGTATTTTGAAAGATATGCATATTGTAAATGTTAATAAAGCTTGATTCTAAAGATTAAAATTTAAATTTGCTGAGTAACGTATCATAATTTCATCTGATCAGTTTAACAAAAGCAGTAAACTGGAAATAGATAGATATATACCAAATAATGCAGATTGCTATCTTTGATCCGCTTTTCTGACATACTAGCAATGTTCAAGAATGATGCTACATTTATAACAACACTGAAAGAGCAAGGCTTGTTTAAATTGATCTATCTAATTATTCCATTTCACCTGCAAGTGACAGAAATTTGGAAAATGGCAACAATGTTACAAGGCATAATAAGAATATATATTTACAAAGAATATACTAGTACGTGCTTCATGCTACTTTTTATAAGTGTGCTGCCATAATGCTAATTACCGTTTGTTTGCAACCCGGGATAAGACAGGGAATACCCATATTTGCCTAGTTCCAGAGAAGTAGTTCTTTTACCAAAGTGTAAGTGTTCAATCTTAAATAGAAACCTTAGCACTGTGAATAAGGCATTTACGGTATTCACAACTAAACGTTGCAATTTTTCATTACATGCATTATTAGTTTTTTTTTCTGGAAGAACTTGTTCCGAACAGGTACTAGACTAATGGTTTGCGGGTGTTAAGAAATCATGAGTGGACCAATTACAATCTCACGAGCTACCGAATAACTTAGCCATTTTGACCAGGTACTGACATCAAAGAAGAATTCAAAACGTTTAGGATGCAATTATTAAATAGTTTTACATTGAAGACTTACTTGTATTATACAGGGCTTGTGTTGGCTATAATGTATTACCTTGAGATTTTTTGAAAATTTTTCCCTCAAACATGTTTTTAGTGGATGATAAATAATGTATCACACCGCAGAGGTTTAAAGCAATAAGTAATTAAAATGAGTGTCTATTGTCGCTAAATATAACATACGTATCTTGATAAATAAATAACCATACAAAAACTGACTGTTTATACAATGTTCCCGAATATTAAATTTGATAAATAAACTATAAATATGTAAATGCAGAAAGAAATTAAATTGCAATTAAAATATAGTTGTGAAGATTAACATATGGTAATTTAAAACAGCTTACTGGCAAAAACACATTTACATATAATTCAGATTTTTGATTGGTTGAAACTAGTTATGGTCAACAATAACTGTCAACGCTACGTTTATAATCACTGTTGAATGAATGCTTTTAGAAATTTGCCAATCGTATCATTCGATTTATACATAGACATTAAGATTTGTGGGGGGGGGATAATTATCAGAAATAGATACTTATTCCTATCGGAGTCATTTCTTTTCCCCTCTTGATCGAATTTAGCTTATGAACATTTTGGTTCTGAACGAGTTCTTCCAGAAAAAAAACTAATAATGCATGTAATGAACAATTGCAACGTTTAGTTGAGAATACCGTAAATGCCTTATTCACAGTGCTAAGGTTTCTATATATGATTGAACACTAACTCTTTGGTAAAAGAACTACTCAGGAATTAGGCAAATATGGGTATTCCCTATCTTATCCCGGGTTGCAAACAAACGGTCATTAGCATTATGGCATTAAGCTTAAGAATCCTCATACTAAGTTGAATAATAACAAAATAATGATCTATATCTCTCAGTGTTGTCAACATACTTACCAGTACTTTCAGAAATAATAAGGTAAAGACATGAGACAGAAAGTATCACACAATATGTTGAAATATTTTCAGAAATGCTGGAAACATGGATCAAGTGAAGTACTGAAAATGAAATACTAAGCAAAGGATAATATAGATATATATTTACAGATCGATAGTTAATTCAATCATGAGCCCATTTGCAACGCGTTTTATGTTCAGCCATTATGCAAAATAAAAATGATTATTGTGGAAAAACGGTATGATGGAGTGATCTGAAAATATGCACGACAGTTGGTTCAAAAACCTCGGTCGAGTTCCTATAATACTGATATATGGCTAAAGGCAACAACACAGAGAAATTATCTTCTTATTAAGAATTAAATTTCAAAAGCCAACCAATACATAAGCATCCTTAACGACATAATTTTGTTAAAATCCCGTAAAAAATAAAGGAAGATTGATACAAAATAAAGGAAATATTTCATATGTTTCAAAAGAAGCCATGATTTCACTTTTAATGATTGAATTCAATTGTTCTTTAAAATTTATTTCTAGAAATAAAGGAGATGAATAACCACACGTGTACTTTTCTTCTTTGTAAAAATGACATTTTCTGTCAAGAATTATTCAGTCATGAAACCCTGAATTTATGCCGAAGGGCACTAAGTGTCAGTAGCTCTGCAAACAGAAATCCATTCACATTCCAGGAAAACACTTCATGTTCCTCCTCAGCTCATCGCTTTTCTCTACTTCCATGTATATTCTTACATATTCTCTACTTCCCTGTATATTCTCCCATATTTTCTACTTCCATGTATATTCTCCCATATTCTCTTCGGGATGACTTCCCTACAATTTTTCGAAACCTCTTAAGGGAACTAACGGTTCATGGATTAAATAGTATATAACATTTGAAAGGTCCCCGCTTCCCGCTTTTCCTTACTCACTCATTTTCTTTGAAAATATAGTTAGTTACTTTGTATCTTAATTAATTATCTCTCCCAATTTGTATATCCTTTCATATTTAGTTTGCCGTACTTAATCAGTAACGGTTTTCATTTTGGACACAAGAAAACAGAGATAATATGTTTCCAGGTGCCCCCTAAGAGTGCTCATGATATAACCAAACATAATGTTATCTCGCAATGCCTGCGGCCGCATGTACAGTAAATCTTTACTCAGTGTCTTATTTCTCATTTCCATATCATTCACACGTGATGTAGCAAGTGACAAAGCTTCTGTAGATTTTGCTTTCTCATGCACGATATTTATTCTTTCAGGTGTTCTCTTATTTTCATCTTGGATATAATTCCACATTTTAGTTATTTATGAATCAAGAAATGGAGTAGTTGACGGTATTGCTTAATTAGGCTGATCAAACTCAGAAAAAAACTCCACAAGTAAAAAATTGCTGGGAAATGCAGCAATGTGATTGTCACGGCGAAAAAAAGAAAAAACACAAAAAAACAGTTATAAGTATAATGTTAAGGTATCTCCAAATAGCATTGAGTTTAATTGACAGGTTAACTTGTTAAGAAGGTTTTTAAGTATTGTAATGTAACTTTTTTCAATTTTGCCGTGTTGGGCTTTCTTTAGGGATTCTGTATTTATCTATTTTGTTACAAGAGCCATGCATATGTAGTAGAGCAGAATAATTTATCATTCTTGTGTACTGCATACCTCTTGAGTGAGATCTATCCACATATGAAGTTTCATGTTGATATCTCAAAGGCTAGTGTAGTTATGCTCTGGACGAAATTAAGTATGAAAAGTAACAAAGGGCAATACCTGAAAAATAATGCACGGTAGGTGTGTGCCGCACTCCTCCTCAATGAGATTTATCCACCTATGAAGTTTCACGTTAATACCTCTAACACTGTTTGGGATAAGCTCAAAAATAACAAAGGGCAATAACTCAAAAATTATAAAGGGTATCATTCTTGCGCACAACATTCCTCCTCAATAAGATCAATCCACCAATGAAGTTTCATGTTGACATCTCAAAGACCTTTTGAGTTATGCTCCACTCAGGTGAAAAATTAAGTATGAAAAAGTACAAAGGGCAATTACTCAAAAACTATGAAGGATAGAGTCATCACTCTTTTGCACTGCACACCTCCTGAGTGAGATCTATCTACCTATGAAGTTTCATGTTGATATTTCAATGGCTTTTGTAGTTATGAAGTTGTAACCTCTAACAATTTTTTAAATAAGCTAGCTCCGGACAAACAGAGGGCTATAACTCAAAAATTATAATGGGTAAAGTTATCATAACAGAGGGCTATAACTCAAAAATTATAATGGGTAAAGTTATCATTTTTGTGCACAACATTCCTCCTTAATAAGATTTATCCACCTATGAAGTTTCATGTTGACATTTCACAAGCTTTTTTAGATATATGCTCCACTCAGGTGAAAAATTTAGTATGAAAAATAACAAAGGGCAATAACTCAAAAATATGAAGGGTAGAGTTATCACCTCCTGAGTAAGATCTATCCACCTATGATGGTTCATGTTATATCTCAAAGGCCTTTGTAGTTATACTCTGGGACAAAAATTAAGTATGAAAAAAAGGGCAATAACTGAAAAACAATGCACGGTAGGTTATCATTCTTGCGTGCTGCAATCCTCCTCAATGAGATCTATCCACCTATGAAGTTTCAAGTTATTCCCTCTTACACTTTTGAGATAAGCTCCGGACAAAAAGTATGAAAAATAACAAATGTCAATAACTCAAAAATTATAAAGGGTAGAGTTAACATTCTTGTGCACAACATTCCTCCTTAATAAGATATATCCACCTATGAAGTTTCATATTGACATTTCAAAAGCCTTTTTAGAGATATGCTCCACTCAGGTGAAAAATTTAGTATGAAAAATAAAAAAGGGCAATAACTCAAAAATTATGAAGGGTAGAGTTATCATCCTTATGCACTGAACACCTCTTGAGTGAGATCTATCTATATATGAAGTTTCATGTTGATATCTCAAAGGTTTTTGTAGTTATACTGTGGACAAAAATTTAGGGCAATAACTGAAAAATAATGCACGCTCGGTTATCACTCTTGTGTGCAGCACTCCTCCTCAATGAGGTCTATCCACCTATGAAGTTTCAAGGTGTTACCTCTAACACTTTTTGAGATATGCTCCACTCAGGTGAAAAATTTAGTATGAAAAATAACAAAGGGCAATAACTCAAAAAATACATGTATGAAGGGTAGAGTTATCACCTCCTGAG